CGGTTGCCTTGGGTGTATGTCTTGGATGACTTTTTTGGCCAAAATTCTTGGCATTTCTATGCCACAGATAGATAGCGATAAGCTATTGAACTCAATGGTTTATATTTTAAGAAGTAAAGTTTTCTTCTACGTTACGCACTTGTACGCAGGGGTAATATGTATTTTGCTTAGCGTTTTTAAGTGATCAATACATGCCGTCCTACGATGCTGCTTACAAAAATAAATTTGTTTCAAACTACGATAGCATTACTGTTGGGTTGAAAAAAAGGAAATGCTTTGCTAAGCGTTTATTTCAGGTAACTGAAAAGAATCATGAGAAAAAGTAAGTTATATACAGTTAAATAGTCTACGATAAGTATTTCTACCTGTCAAAAAAAAACCAAATTAATACCTATCTCTATCGTCGTGTGGTTTTCTCAGAAGGAATGAAGCGCAAGAAAGCGAGGAAAATTGAATCTTGTAAAATCCACTAATCATAGAAAATTCATTTCGATGCTTTAATGGAATATGAGGACTTTACATATTATTTTGGAAAAAGAGGACAAGAAAAAATATCTTTTAAAGCAGATAATAGTATTGGTTTGTGCTTTTCGTTTCGGTAGATATCCTTGCTATGACTAATTGGATGAGAAAGAAAGATAAAGAAGTTAAATGGCTTTGCATTTTTAGGTCTTTCCTACGGCGTCATCATTGTTATTATTAAAACCGCATTCTTGCATTTTTCTCCTCACCTAGTAATAATTATACCAATAATGGAATATTCCTTATTAGTTAATAATTTAAGTTTGAAAGGTTTAGTGATTAACTAAAGACTTGCAGGCTGCTATTGTCATTAATTACACTTGAGATTATTTCAAACTGTTAATCAGCATTAATCGTAATATTGAAATCGACCTATTTAACAACTAAGTATATACAGAATAAATATAAAAGAAAACAGTGTAAGTGTGAGAAAATTTCTTTTCAGTAGTGGGCCGTCACGCAAAACATAACAAAAGTGATTTTACTGTTTACGGAATACAATTAAGGGGATTTGGGGACAGCCTGACTAGCGTCTAGCCTTCAAAGTATACGCAAAATATTGCCTGAGCTTTAGTTAACAAAATTCGCTTCCATAAAAATCTCTATTAGTAAAAAGCACGATAACAACATGCAAAGTAATACATACTACCTCGATGCAGCCAGTCTTAATAAAAAATTAAAACGACAGGAAAACTTATTCGAAAAATATTTTTCTTTGTTAAAAGTTTCCCTTGAACTGGTTAAAGATTCACGAAGGCTTGCATCTGAAATTCTGAGTTGATTTAGCCATGTCTGTCCGTCTGTATGTCTGTGCCGTGTTGGTTGATGACACTCTTCCGGTGGCGAAAATGAAGATATCGACTTCAAATTTGGTAGAAAGATTAGAAGTTTTTGCCCGCAGGTTGGTATTGAAAATGGGGCAAATGTGGCAAAATGAGGCTGCAGTGAAGTATAAACTGAACGCAACTCCGTCTTTTCCAACAAAATGTTGTGGGTTTTTACTCATTTGTTACAAACTATAAAAGTTTGAAGACTAAAATTTTCAACATATACCTTACGAAATGCTCTGCTCTTCACGTGCACAAATGAAAAAAAAAACAGCCATGTCCACACAAACTTACAAGTGATTAAATGCATCATTTTTCACTTTATTGAGGTTTTATTTTTATTTATCATAACGTAAACAAGACAGAATGTGTAAAACTATTTTGTACACTCCTCAAATGAAGATGTATATCTAGCTAAAAATGGTCCAATGGCAGCCCAATTATTTTTTCTTAATAGTACCAGATGGGTATGAAATAAAAGAACTTGGAGAGTAGAATGCGAAAAGTATAATGGTGGGTATGCGAGATTTGGCCCCTGAATATAAGTCTCTTACTTGTTTTCTCTTAGATATTTGTTTATGGCATTTTCATTTAAAAACAACTTTCCCGTAAATGACTTCGCCTATATCGCATGATTTTTGTGGCTAATTCACATCGGCATTTTGAATATCTTAGGGTCATTGAGCATTTCTCCCAACAAATTGGTTACGTTAGGAGATGAATGAAATCTTAGACCATCTTGTCCCACAATCAATCAATAGTTATATTGCTACAGCGTGGTTCGTTGACATTAACCGCAATCGGTATTTGCGTTTTGACAGAAGATGTCATAATAATGATCATAATAATAATAACAATAAGTAAGAAAATTATATACGGCTGCAATTGAATCTTTTGTAGCCATCAGGGTTATTCTAAAGATGTGTAAAAAATAACAAAGAAAAAATCTAAAATTTCGTATTCTCTTATTTGGGGTGAGCACGGCTGATTTTTCTCCATTCCCAAAATAAAAGTAAAAATTTCCATCGTGCATCTGAATGACGAGCATAAAGCAAATGTATTCGCAGTTTTTGTCGAATATACGCGTGGAGCTTGTTGTAGAAGTGTCGTTTGATCGACTTAGAGGCAGACAGACGGACGGACAGACGAGCCGGCGGACGTGCTCAAGTGCATTCCGAATTTGAAAGTATTTAAATATTTAATGGGTCTTTTGAAGCTTGCTTTTGCGCGTTATAAAGGAATTCAAAAAAATTTTGATACACTACAATGTTAGGACGAAGCGAATTCCCACCACTTTCGTGCAGATTTTATAGCACCATCCAGAGAATACAAGTTCAAACTTTTGCAGATTTATTTGCTGTAGTGTATAATCACGATCAAAAAAACAATTTTTTATTACTTTTGAAAAACCGAGGTGTTCTCAGTTTACACGATACTGTAGGCGTGTTCTTGGATCGATTTCGCTAATTCGACACCAAACTGCGTGAAAGAACATTCAATGTTTTTGCCAAACTTCAAATCGATACATTCCATTTAGTGGTCACGAGTATATTTATAGCGGACATAGGCGGACAGTCGGCGGACAGACAGGCATGGTTAAATCAATTCAGAATTCAGAATTTAATGCTGATCACAAATATATACGCTCTATGGAGTCTCTGAAGCTTTCTTCTGGGCAATCTCGGGCGAGGAAAAGCATCCTTCTCGTGGTAATAATTGTTAATGATAATCATAATAATAATAACAATAAAAAATAATAATATCAATAATAAATAGTATATAAAAGTAATAATAATAGCTAAGATATATGTATGTTTTCGATAATTATAAATATTCCCCTGGGCCCAATTTCATACTTCACTTAACAATACCGATAAGAAAACATTTAACACTAAGCGTGTCTTTCGAGACAATATTTTAAAATCATAATTATCACTAGGAATATGCAATCAACTCCAATCCTGATTTTTTTATATAGTTTGTGAAATCGACGAGGCTTATTTCTATGCCCTATGCGTTCGGCAATTCTAACACAGCTCGACAATTAAATACCGTACATCACACGTGCCCCTGTATCGTCACAAAACATCAAAATTAACGACCTGTTGGCATATAACTGCTTATTTATCGTGTGAACCTTCATATGAGAACGGGTCTGAAAAATAAGTCTATGTAATTCAAAAGTTTTGTTTTGCATCAATTTTCATCATAAAATATTAAAAACTTTTTGGTATGTGCAAAAACATTTTTGTGGGATAAAATGCAAAAAATATTTGTAAATTTTCTGCAATATTAAAAAATATGAATTTTTTCTATGTAACGGTACATTTTAAATGGAGCTTCAAAAGAGAAATGATCGGAAAAATTCCCCCGTTCGAAACAATCCAATTTCAATGGACTTCTTCTATATGGGTCAGTGTAACGAATTTTATCACAAGACGCTGAACGCATAAATACATGGACAGACAGATAAAGCTGACGGGCAAGCTTAAACTGATGGAAAAAATGATTTTATTTCGGTCAGTACAATAAAAGGTGAATTTGACTCAACACCTTCCTAGTTGTTGCATATGTCCGCACAAATTTGTTGTACCCTTATTTAAAGTGATGCAATGCATTAAAGTTTTATACATTTTTTAAAACATTTTATAGCGATTTCATGAAAACACTCTTTTGAAAAAAATGAAAAATTTCATTCTCAGGAGCATTAATATAAATGAACAAATATTTTCTCTATCTTTCATTGAAATTTCAAAAGAATTGTATTTGGATTTAAAGCGAAACTCAGATCGTATAAGTGACCTGAAAGATAACCCTTTTTTGTTTTTAATTTCCTTAATAGATACATAGTTTCTTGGTAAATATGCAATTGTCTCCAATACGCTCTGTTGAACATAAAAATTAATTAGATGGACACTGAACGTTGCAATGTTAGAACACAATGTCAACGAATTCATTGTTTCCTTAATGTTTGATTTCTTTCGTTGTGCACGATATTAACTCTTATCAATTAATCTTTCAGATGTAAAAATAATCTAACAGCATGTTGCACAATATTGTTTTTAGCAAGAACACGTAAATACGCACACAACCTTATGGTATATATTGTATACATACCTTCTTCTTAATCTTTTTAAAACAAAAGGAGCACAACGTAATCCTTAAAGAATTCTTCTTTCTTTTGTTGCGTATGGAGAAGTGAACATCAGACAATAATAGTAATAATAATAATAATTTTCTTTTACTTCACAGACGATAATAGAAATTGTAATTAACAAAAAATGATTTAAACTTGTGAAACTAAACTAAACTTTTTGGGACTAAGCTCTTATATGAAATCTGTCCGCATTGAATAATTTTTGTTTTTTAAAATTTGTATTGATATTAATTTTTGATTCATTTATTTCATTGTTTGTATGTACACTTTATATAGACAATAGCCACAAACACATACACATACACATACACTCGCTCGCACTCGCACTCGCTTCCATTTACATTCATTATTAACAAGTGTATTCACAACAAGTGTGTGTATGCTAGTACCCGCACAACATGCTTATAGTATTTTGTAGGCCTGACTTCACTCTCACAAAAATAGTAAATTTAGATAACAACAAATGTAGATTTCACAGTAACATGAACGCATACCTGCTAAGCGAGTGTGCTGTGACACTGAAGGTTGTAGAGTTACTGAAGGCTGTAGAGTTGGTCTCAATAGTATCGGCAGTGGTGATGCTATTCGTCTGCTCGACGTCAGTTGGTAACGAAGGCAGGCTTACGTTGGCGTTTATGGCTGCCAACGTCAACGATTCCGTAGTCGTCGATGGAGATTTGTCGTTTCCTTGCTCCGTTTCATGTTGTAATTTTATAATAGCATCCACTATCACTCCGGAAACAACGTCTTCAGCATGCTGTTCAACATTTTCAATGTGCTTTGCATCTTTTTTTATTTCATTTTCAGTTTTTTCAACTTCTACGTTATCGGCAACTAAACGATTTTCGTTTGTTTTTGATTTTTCGGATTTTCTCTCTTTCCTTTTATGCGTTCTTTCTTTGGTGTCAGCAACATTTGTGGATTTTATATTTTTAGCGCATGCCTCACTTAAGCTTGCTGTTGCTGTAGTGGTTTTTGTTATAAATCCGGTTTCTCTGTTATTGTTAGTAACGATGCTTTCTGGTTTTTCGCTGCTGTATATAATTTTGGTTTTGATTTCGTGTTTTGTTTTGCTCGCTCTTTCTTTACTATTCGCTTTACGTCTAGCACAAAGACGAGTTGGTTGACCAGCCTTACCTATATGCAAAGTCGGTGGCTTCAATGTCTGCGTCGACGAGTGTTGCGTATGATCTTTCTCATGCTGCTGCAGATGCTGCTGTAATAACAATTCTGGTTTATACTCCTCTTGGCAACATGTATCGCAACTTAGTGTTGGTGCTAGTGATTTGCCTTGACATGAGTTGGGCGAGCGACGTTGCGTTCGTTGCTTTTTCATTGTCACTGCTGCTGTTGTGTATTTAGACGTTGATGCTGTTGTTGCTGTTGCTGTGGTTGTTGATGTTTCTCTTATTGTTGTGGTCGACGTATGTGTTTTGGTCTTTTCGTCGTCCAGGTTCATTGTCAGTTTTGTTTTTACTTCCTTTTCTGGTTCTTTTCGATTGTGTTTAGACCTTTTTTCAGGTTTCTCTGCATTTCTATCTTTACCACCGCGTGATGTTATGTGCTTAACGATTGCATTACTAGATTCTTTTCCTATACATTTCGTTTGTTTTCTTGTTTTTTCATATTCAGATATACTGTTAACCTTGACTAATTGTGTTGTTATCGTTGTTGTTGTTGATGTTAATATCGCTGTGGCTGTTGTAACAATTGCGTTTATGGCATTGTCCTTTTCTGTTGATATTACTTCTCCAGCGCCGTTTTCACCATTATCGTCAACATCGTTGTTGTCACTTTGGTCATGGTTGTTATCTACATCACTACAGGCTGTTGCATTTTCCTTATTGTCGTTATCGTTGTGTTTGTTGTTATTATCGTTAAGGTTATTAATATTTTCCACATGATTTTGCATAGTTTTCTCTTTTTTTTGTTCGTTTATTTTATTTTGAATTGAACAGTTTTCATTAGATTGTTGCTCCTGTTTTTGTCGCTCTTCAAGCATTTCCTTTGCTTCGAGGTTTTGTTGTTTCATTTCCTATAACGGAACATTGTATATATAGAAGAACAAATATTTAATAACATTAAAATGCAAAAAAAAAAAATTAACTTAAATTTGTAATAAAAATTTGTAAAGTATTCATACGAAGCAACTAAGAATTAAGAATTGGTGTTACTGCTATTCTTTAACATCTTGCACTAAACTTAAACAAACATATAGAAATTTTGTCATATGCAGGCGTTTTCTAAGACAGTTACTAACTTCAATATATTTAATGTAGGTATATACGAACGCGAATGCGAATATATTAATGATACTTTTTATTTGAAACTGTTTCAATTTTCTAGTGATGAGAACGTTTCGATGGAGATCGAGCACCGATTTCTACGATCAACCCTCCGAAAGTACCAGCAACAAACGAGAGAGAATCTAAGGCAGAAGCAAAGAGCGATCAACAGAGTAATACATAGAGAGATGTGCAGAGAGAGAAACAGAAAAATTTCCACTTTCATTTTCGAAAACGTAAGGTTCGATAATCTTGCAAATCCCAAAAGCGACACTAAACAGTCATTCGTTGTGTTAAAATTGAAATTGAAACTAATATAAAAAAGTCTTGGTATTAACCATGTATTTCTAACATCCTACTAACGAATGTATTTGAAAATCTCCCAAGATGTACTTGAAGGGTATCATTACAACGACCGACCAATAATGGCGCGAAAGAGATATCTCCAGAAGGGAATTTGGCAAATCAATTTCTAATTACATAATCGCTTACCAAGTCTTCGCCGCGCTACACACTACACATTTTTGCAGCTAATGCTTTACCATTATTGCCTTGTTCAAATAATCCTTAAAGTACCGCAATATGCAGTATGTCGAATGTAGTAAATCAATTAAGGACTTAGCTAATTAAAGACCTTAAGTTCTTGAAAGATATTGACGGGTCATTTAAATAACGTTTGACGATGTGGTTGGTTCTGTTCATAATTCATGTCAAGCATAGAAAAAACATTCAAATACAAAAATGTCTTCCATAAATATGTTTGGGTTCAATTAGTTCATTGCTTTCAGTGAAAGATGATTTAAAATAATATTGCTAATAGTATGTATAACTTAATATTATCGCACGAAAGTTTGGAAAGATAAAAAGAAGGGCAAAAAAAGAAAAAGATGTGCGTTACGTAAACACGTTCATACATAATTCAATGTGATGTATTTAGAGATGCGTGCTTATATATCCGACGTCAGGACGTGCTTGTAACAAAACTTTGACAACTATTCTCACTATTCTGTACATACTTTGAAATTCTTCCGCTTCCTCTCTTTTTCACATCTTTTATTTTTTATTTTATTAAAATGATTGCGGAAAGAAAAGTATCTTTTAAAGTTATTCGTTTCCCCCCAACTGCTTCTGACATTAAAAAAAATTAAATAACGTACATGATTGCATACGCGCACTAAAGCCTTCATGCTGGTTTATAATATTCTTACCTGTTGATGAGCTAACAGTGGGGTGGGGTGGGGTTGCGTTTGTCGTTTAGCTTCCAAGTCTATGAGAAAATGGTGAGATTGTTGTTTATTGGATGCTGCACTATAACTGGCTGCCGTACAATTGGAGTCTTCACTACGCGCATCATAGAAAACGTCATCGTCATCGTTTTGATCACGTTGCTGGGAATCGAAAGTCGTCGCTGTAGCTGATGAAGCGGAAATAGACGCAAAAGGGAGAGAAGATACAGTGGCTGCCTGTATAGCGTTGTTAACTGCAGCCTCACTTTGTATAGGGATAACGATGCTATTGCTGGTAATAATGTCGACATTGAAAGTTGACTCATCATCGTTAGCCTGTTGTTCGCTAACAATTACTTGCATATCCCTTGAGACACTAGTCGCAGCGGTGGCCATATCAGTTGAAGTTGTTCCACAACTAACTACATCAAAGCTGCTTTTGTTGGCGCTTTCCGTTGGCAAAGAAACAGAGGCCTCAGTTATTGTTAGGTAATCCTCAGTTGGTGTCATTGTTATTGTTGTATGCAATGTGTGCAATTGTTCTGTTGTCGAAAGTGGGCGCAGGGGCGATGTTGAACACGCTACAAGATTTTCTGTTATTATGTCCTTTTCTTTTATATTTTTTTCATTATGTAGAGCTTGTTCGCTTTCTTGGTCGGCGTCACTCGCACCATATTTTCTAATCTTCAGCTTTCGGTCTGCGTCTTCGCTTGTGTTGTTACTATTTGGTGTGATTTGACAGCGTTGTTGCTGCTGCTTCAGACTGTACCGCAATTCTTGCAAGTCAGCATAAGTTGCTGGAGATGGTGGAGGTGGTGCGGGTATATCTCGTCGTTTTAAAGGCAGCGCTGCATTCAAGCTAGTAGAAGTTTTCAAGGAGCTTCCATGTCTTTTATTTGACAAAGAAGCAACGGACGAGCCATGTAGCTTACTATCTACTGGGTCCACGCTGTGTTGGAATCGTTCGTTAGATTTGCCATATGTCTGCGAAGCATGCTGCGGGCTTTGTTTTTGGTCGTTTACTGACATTTTGGGAATAGTTCCAGTATGTTTAATAACCAAACGGTCCAACGAAGAGTATTCCGGCTTGTTTTCTTCTATAGCTTCGTTTTTTTGTTGATGTAAACGTCTTGTCAGAGGATGTGGTGTCAATTGACCAGCTGTTGTTTGATTCTGATGTAAACTATTTCTAGGAGCTGGCGTGGGCTTTCGGGAGCGCTCTTTGATTAGAGGCAAGGTTGTCATGCTGCCACATTCTTCTTTTTCTGATTCGTTCTTCTCTTTCCCACATAGTTTCTTTGAATTGCCCGGTTCCATGACCCCCGCTCTTTGCATTTCTGCTTGATAAATACTGCGCTTCACATCGCTGACATGTTTAAAGAAGTCTTGAGCATATTTATTTTGTTTTAAAGATTGCTTACGTTCGTTAGCCGCATTCTCTTCGTAGTCGTCTAAAGCTGGCGGGGGCTGACCTCCTGTGGACGGCAAAGTACCTTTAGCCGTTTTTCGAGGTATACCACCACCGCTATATAACTCATCAAAGTCAGAAGAGAAATAATTTGAGGAACAGTCGCAATTTCGACAATCAAAATGACAGTTCTCTGAATAAGGACATTTACCGTTGCGTACAGTGGAGGTATTTGTGCTTACTGGTACATTTTCAAAACTGCAACGGCGACAGTCGAAAGCAAAGCGACAACTCTCAGCACTACCAAAATATCGCCTTTGAGCTGAAGTTGCATACGAAGATAGAAGAGAATCTCCAAAGTGAGTGTTAGTCATTTGAGTGTGTGGGAAGTGACGAGTTAAACCAGCCCCTCCATACCTCTGACTAGCATAATAGGTATCAGAACTGCGTGACAATGAATATTCACTTAATATGGAGGCCCGCGAATCTGTCTTATAAATACCGGTTGGAGCATCGTACGCTGCCGAGCTGTTCGTGTCCAACAATATCTGAGAACCGCCCAAACGTCCACTAGCGGCATACATTAACGGATACATGGGTTGTGTGTAAAGGTAGGGTGTAGAAGCTGTTGACACTTCCCCACGGCTAGCTGCATAATGATTGACGTCTAGTTGTGTTAAAGTATTAAATTTTTGTTGCTGTTGCTGCTGCTGCTGATGATAATACTGCAAGGAATCACTAGAGGAACTAGATTTGGTATTCATACGTTGCATAGACAAATGGCCCCCAACAGAACTCAGGTTGTTCAAATTATACGATGAAGTTTGATGATTATTTCGCTGTCTTACTTGACCGTTTTGTGACCAAAACGTGGTGTTGACAGGTGTACCATAAGTATTCTGCTGCTGTTGGTGGTTTATGGTATAAAATTGTTGTTGTTGCTGTAGATGATGCTGGTGATGCTTCTGCCGATGTTGCTGTTGATTTTCGCTAGGTGTTGTTGTCGCAGTGCTGTTATTTGAAGTCGAGTATTGATTTTGATAGTGCTGTGCGCTGATATTAGACGATGGCTGCTGTTGAAATTGCAAAATCGGATTATAATCACCGGTAATAGCTACCGGTGTAGTTTCAATTTTATACACACCCGGATTATTGGGGTTGTAAGACTGAAATTCTAAGATGGGAGCTGTGGTTACGTGGGTTTCGTTAGCCGTTGATCTAATTGCGCTGCTGTTATTAATAATCATGGATGTTTGGCTTTGATAATTATTGCCGACCTGATTGGCTTTCAAAGAACTTAAATTAAATGTTTGTTGTTGAAATTGTAGTTGGCTGCTTGAGTTTCCGGCATTATTTGCCCTCTCTGCTCTGTAGCAATAATCACACTCTTGTCTATTACACTGTTGCATACATAACTCACAGTCAGCGTACACTATCGAATCATTTATTAAATTACCACTGTGTGACACTGTATCAGAGGGGGTTTGCAATAAGTTTGGGTTAATTGTTTGTTGGCTATTTGGGAGGTTTTGATTTTCATCGTCATCGCTCAAGGGGGCATCTTTAAAAAATATTTCTTCGTAAATATTCTCCTCACTCCGAGTTTGCAATTTATTTTTGTTGTTTAGAGTAGATATGGAACTAGTGACAACATTAGTGGGACTGGTACTCACTGTTGTTATGTTTAAGTTGTTGGCACCGCCATTCGTCGCATTCATTTGTAGGTTGTTACGCTGTTTCTCCACAAACTTTTTTGAGCTTTTTAGACCCTCTTTAAGTAAATAATAATTAAAACTTTTTATACCAATTTCACCTTTCAAAAAACGGCGGCCCATTTGCATTTTAGTAGTGCTCGAAGTATTCACACTGCTGACAGAAGCAGCAGTTGATGTGTCGCGTTCCGCTGTCGTTGCAGAATCTTTTCCCTTAGAGCTACGCGTTGAAAACAGATCGTCTTGATCCGGTAGAGATTCTTGAGGTCTTTGCCGACTACCGTTACAACTATCATCAGTGCGCTGTTTACTTAAGTTGTGTCGCGTTAAACTCGAAGGAGCCGGATTTTCGGATATCAACTCATCCACATTTTCACTATGCTGCGAATCATGTAGTTTATTATCCAAACTTAAATTACGTTTTGTAGTAAGTTTCTCAGAACGGCTCGATTTATGCTCTTTAGTGGACTCCTTTTTCATTCTACCACGCTCCAAACTTCGTCCCCTGTCCGAACTCCTAACTGCAGCTACTGGTTGTAAGTCATCATCAGAACTGCTGAACACGAGCCGCCCCAAATCCTCTTGAGCGATCTTCAAAAACTCTTTAGTAAGCTTGCTACGTTTACCCAAAGAACTGCTACCACCACCAACGCCGCTGGTAGCTTCATTTATTAAATTTGTCGAAGCAAAACTGCTACGCCTCATTGGATTAGCCAAATGGCTAATATCATCGGTGTAAGCGGGATCATCATATATACGATCACGAACCGAGGACAAGGAACGATCTTTCGTCTAAATAAGAGAAAATGAAAAATATACAGAGCGCAAGCTGTTAGCCGTATAGTTGCCGATATAGATTGTTTTAAAAATTTAAAAATAAATATAAAGGAAACTCATTAAGTGCGAAAGCATAGAAAGGAACAGCCGTCCATGCATTCGGTCCTAGCCTAACAGAGTCTCCAACTGCTTTGAATGTTTTAAAAAACATAAAATTTCAAGGCCTAACGCTTAAGACTAAATGAAATTGCGTACACATGTACTAGGTATATAGGTTTATTTTTTGGCGCTTTCACGTTAATTCAAACGTTGCAATTAATGCGCAACACAATTAGCCTACGTTCCCTCTGACTTAAAGTCAACAAAGTTGTCTTTATTTGTGTAATATGTTACTGTAACTAGTGAACACGTTATAGTTGGGCAGGCTGAATAGTATACAGCCCAACCGCCATTTTTTCTAATGCAGCTGCTCATCTATTTTCGCGGTAAAATGCCAAAAATTATACCTTCTTTTCATTTAAAATTAGACCTTTGACGGTGGTCTTGATATAGGACCGTACCTAAAACCTGAAAGGTCATGGTCAAAATTTACGAAAACTTTTTTCTTTATTGTCAAAATGATTTCGATTGATTTTTGTCGACGAATTTTGAAAATTGCAATTTTATTTTCACGTAAAGACTTTGCAAAATAAGGAGTTCTGTGAATGGACGTTCGATCCAAATCGTTTTGAATAAGAAAAAACCTTGACTTTCTATAATTTAGCTATTGTGAGTTCAATTACCTTTGTTTTGGTTTTTTTTCGGCTTCGATGTGGTATCGTCACATCGCTTAATTTCAATAGTTTTGGTCGTATTGGGCGTTTTGCACTTTTATTAGATCCCTCGGCGCTACCAACGCCAGTATATCGTAGATCCATATATTTTTCGTTAGACATATCCCATGGAAATATTCTTTGCCCTTCGATCAAAGGTTATTGCGGCTATAAGTGAGTGAAACAATTAAAATTCAGACAAAACAAATAAATTTCGTTTAATAAATTTTTCTGAATTCATATTATATAAATGAATCAATAAAGTATTTCATTCTAGTTCTCTAAATTGTGATTTAAATTAAATATGGAAAAATGTAACGTTTTTTGTAAGAACCGCTAAGAGAGATGTATTAATATCGCTTTATATACATTTCATGTTTGCTTTACGTTTCGCTTGTTCTTCAATTAAAAGAAAAATTTGGAAAAGTTTTTTTTTCGTACTTTTGAAATGCAAAGGGCATCTTAACAGCTTGTTTTGGGCTCTCTTAAGAAAAGTTTTCAATCCAGTGCATATTTGAACAGATTATGAAATGTTTCCTCCTTATGATATCCGCAAAAAGTTTTTCGGCAAGAGTAAAAATACTATTGAAAATTGGTACATATGTACAATTTAGCTTAAAATCTCTCCGTCCTTCCTTTGTAATATAATTCTTCCAAAAGAGAGAAAAAAATTAACAAAAGCTCATTAAAAATTTCTCCTGTAAAACTTAAAAGCGCAGCGAAATAATTAAATGTTAGTACTCTGGTTGTTATTTAACGATTTGCCGAAACAGTACGGAGAGACGGTTGTCGATACAGACGGCATGTGGTCTCATATTTCAAATTACGATATACTCATACGGATTTAGAAAGAAATAATTATCACATAGATAGTTTTTTACGTTGTCAATCTGAAAAAAAATCGTTATATATTTCAAATCCACAGCGAAAATGTCGAAAACGCTAGCTTGGCAAGCCTAGCCAAGATTTATGCTATATAAAGTCGAGTTGATAAAATTCAATAGAATTTAGATGATTTCCTCGCCTTTGTTTTGCATATTTTGATGTTGATGTTGATGTTGATGCATATATTGCGACCAACTATTGAGAAAGAGAATAAAATTTCAGAAAATATTGAAGAACATTGATAAATATGCAGTCATTGCATTGGAAAAATAAAATGTCGATCAGAGGATAGCTTTACCGCGATTGCATAAGGCTAGACAAATACACAAGTTCGATATATGGCAGCAGCATAAATTGTTGATGAAAAATTTGATTGACCGAGCTCATCAAATCAGTCCTGGTAATGAAAAATGGATGAATTACTCAAAAAACATTATGATGAAGCAAGGTAAACCATTTCAAATAGTGTGAAATGCATAATTAATGTCACATAAGGTTATGGAGATTAGTGCCGCAAGATTTTATACTGGAAAGATGATAGTGTGGATATGGGGGAATTTGAAGAGTAAATAACCAGACTGCTTCAATGGGATTAAAAAAAAAAAGTGGCTGCACTTGATGAAAGGAAAGGCTACTGCACTCTAATACGACAGAACCAGTCTACAGCGAAGCAAGCAGGCGCGACAGTCACGTGGAAAAAAGAAGCTTTTTAGAAATTAATACCTTAAAAAATATAATCCAAGCAGGTGTTGTGGCGAAGTTTTTTTTTTTGTCAACCAAAAGCGAAAATTGAGACTTCTTAAGTAAACCGTGTTGTTCAAGTGGAGAATAGATTTCATTTACCCAAAACCACGACGAAGAACGCAATTTAAAGTCCATAATAAATATTGGTCTTAAACTTGATTTATAGATTTACTAAATATATTTAACCCTTTAGTACGCAACATTAAATAATCGAACATGCTATAAGTAAAAAATGATCTAAAACTTTGTATAAATTTTTCTCGTAATCGCAGAAATAGTCTATAATTAGAACATAATTTGCAAGACGGTATCAAAAACTATCGCCACGACCAACATAACTTTCTTACTTGCTCCCTTGCAATTTCGTATAAGAGCAGCCAACATAAGACCAGAAGATTATGTGGAAGTGAAAGACAAATGAACAAAGAATTACGACTTGGTTTCTTTTTTCATTGTTTTCGGGATTTAATTGCTAGTCTTTTGTCATATTTCTGGTAAAATCATTAGGCGATTAATGTAAAACTTCTGGGATTTCTATACGATCACGTAAACAAAGTGATTTTCTTTCTCCAATTACCTGTAGATTTCACCTTTCATACGTGCTAAAATATGACATTGCTCGGTTACGTTAATGTTACCGAAGTCAGACGAATCCAAAACCATCTATTGAGGAACACGACACAACTTTTTCTTTCACCGAATATATCTATACTAAATCATTAACTGCAGTAGTTCTAGTTAAGTAACGACGTTTTCTGTTTAATTGATAGTGACTCTGCGAAGATTCAAACCTAGAGATAACGGCATTGGTTTTATCTATGCGCGGAGTAATTTCTTTAAAACAAAGGATTCGTTTTAATTATCATATTGTAATGCATCATTGGGTTAACATGTGCTATTTTTGAAAAGATATTTTAAGTTAAACTTTCAACATACGGAAAGTCCAGATCATCATGAGTAGTTTTCTTGTTAGCAACGGAGCATTAAAAATAAGATTAAAAGTTTTCGATTGATATATTTAAAGTATTTCAATACTGGAATTATTGACTTGTCCTCATAATTTTATGTCATAAACCGTGATAAAATGGAGGATAACGCTGCATAAGATGCATTTATTTATTAGATTAAGTTGAGATTCTAAACGAGTTAACCAATAGATTCTTTTAGTTTTCAAATCAAGTTTCTAGCGTCTAGCTCATACATGTCCAATACGTAAGCCAAGATATTTTGCATAGTTATTGATAGAGCTATTATTACCATTCAAAAATAGTTAAGTACAAGAATTTTTATTTAACGTGGTTATATTATTATTATTATTATTATTATTATAAATTTAGCCGGAGAATAAATTCTATCAAAAAAGTCTTAAAGCACTAGTAAAGAAAATGGATGGCTGTCCAATTTGTCTATGTCTCAGTTATTCTCAGCGATCGGAAAATCTAAAGTGAAAATGATATAAAAAGCACTTAAAAAAAAAAACACTTAAAGCACTTCGATCCCAAAGCGAATTTTATATATGCTTAATCTATCATTTTCAACTTTAACATAAAAATATCTGTTTACCAAACAAAATTTAAGTAGTTTTGAAAACATTTTTTTTTCTCCAGCAATTGATATATACCCAGTAGACGAACCCATGAGACGTGAAGTGGTTTAGCATTTTTTTTTTTTGTAGTTGAAGTTACAGAAGGTTTGTAAAGGCTTAAAAGTTCCTTATTGATGAAAAGCAACATTATCACTTTCGTTTGTGTCATTGCGCCATCAATTTTCAAGCGCACATCTGAAATAAACAATTCGCTTATTTGGTAGCTCCTATTCGTGTAACGGGGTGACGGCCAGAAAGACGAAAAAGCGTAGAAGGGGATGATATAAAGAGATGGCTGCAGCCTAGCGGGTCCGGCTAAACGCCCATTATAGCTTAGAACAAAGTAAATTGTACCGCACCAAGATGTGAGCCCACGAAAACTGAGTTGCTACTCGCGGTTTTTACCTAGTCGGCTACTCTTGTGGACAATGAGGTTATTAATTTATGTATTCCTAACTTCAGCTGGGTGAAATCGCAGGTTCTGTGTAGAATTTTCGTTTGTCTATAGGACTCTTGCTATTTTGCCGTTGTTTTCTCGATCTTCCCGTACCTCTGATCACTAGCCTTACTTCAAAACTAACATAATTGTTTATAATGTCTGAGCCCATAAAGGTTTCTGGGAGCAGATATCAAATTATGTTGTTACTATTGACTTAAATTTGTGAAATCGTCTACTATGGTAAAGCTTTACAAAGCTCCAATGAGACTAAAAATTCTTTTCGATCCAGTCTCTAAAAGTTTATAAAAATCAGTTTCACGTCTAATCACATAAAATTTTAATGGGAGGTTGTAAGCAATCATTTTGAAGTTGATAATCAGTGGAAAATGATCAGAACTGAGGTCATCACTGCCAGAGGACAATTGCTAAAAATATCAGATTACAAGAAGAAATACAGCAAATTGGGATTTTGCTTTAGATCGTTTAGGCCATAGACAAAACGGAACAACGGTTATTGCGAATGGACTTGTAAAGCTCCCCGTCTTTGGGATTTACTTGGCTAAATCTGCACCATTTGTGTTTTGCATTAAAATCACTTTTGGCAATAAACTACCCGAAGAATTGTTTATAATTATTAAATCTTAACGAAAATCCGGAAGGTTAGCGAATTGAATAAATTAATATCACTTCACTGTGATTGCGGAGCCACAACCAACAAATCAGGAGGAAAGAAAAAATGGATTTCAATTATTCATATAATTATTAAATGTTTTATTCTTCAAGTTAATAAATTGATGCAACCATATTTTTATTCTCTACACTGCATGTGCTACAAGCATATACTAATTTTGTAAGGATGTATACAACATGTAGAAGGACTTGAGATAAACCAGCCTCTTATTATTCCGATCGATTCAGAGCGTGAACGACGCTCTTTCTTGTTTTCGTGTATTCAACCAATAGACCGAAATTTTCGAGATATTTTGATGAAATTTGGTACACTGGCGTTTTTTATCCCAAAGACGGACGCTACTAAATATGATTGTGATTGGACTACTTTTACGGCCACTTACCATATAAAGACTTATTTTGAACAGTCGTTACATAAACAACTACATTAAACGAAGTGGTATACGATATCTACGGTAGACCGTGGCCTACTGTACTGTTGTTACTTGTTTTCTTTTTCTTTTAATTGTCTTAAATATTAGTACATTCTTTAAAAATCAATAAATACGAGTTCAAGTTGTTATGCAATAGTTTCTCTTTTCTTAGTTTTTATATCCTCCACTTTAAGGTGCGGGTATAGTCATTTTGTTTTTTTTTCTTTCATAATGTCTGTAACACGTTGGGTGGAAGGAAACTTCGGAGACCCTATTAGGTATATATATTTTTGGTCAGCGTGAAATTCTGTCTGTCCGCCTGTCCATCTGTGTGTTTGTGTGGCGGTTCTCGTTGGCACTCCACTGATCGCAAAAATGAACATATCGACTTCAAATTTAGTAGAAACTTTGG